TACTAGCTACAATCACTTGCATCAACTTTCACATTTTACTCTACTTAAATGTAATCCCCAACGCGTTTACTTTACGACTTTACTGATGTTAACGCCAACCTGTTCACTTTGTAACTAACTTAACTTGGCAGCTGAGTGTCCCCTTATATAGCAGTCGGTTGCTCGCAGACGAAAGCGTAGAAGCATCGATTTATTCGCTATGGAAGGTTCTTGTTTTTTCGTTTCTAGAATGTACTAGTTATCGGCTTCTCTCTTTCATCTGACATTCGCCTCGCATTTTCGCAACAATATAATATAAGAATACAATAACCCGCAAACATTGATTTGAAACCAAATATAATTTATATATTAAAGAAGAAAAAAATTGGAAATTATTAAAGAAACTGGCATTACCGTATAAAGTAATAAGACTGAGTGTATACATGCGGCGAAAAGGAGAAATGGTTAAAAAAGTTCCCGACGCTAGAACAGAAGTAACGTATCTGCTACCAAATGTCACTTTGGCATTGTTGATACATAATTTGTGAAATAAATTTTACCAGTCTTGTAGGGTATTATTAAATGGGGGTGCTCATGGTACTTCCGAAGTACCAAAGCATAAAACGAATTGAATCGATAAAATTAATAGTATATCAGCCCATACATATATTCTTTGAAATAATTCAGACATCTGAAAACTCACCGTTCCTGCTGCTTATTGATAACTTACGGTTCGTTGAGTAGTGAGGGCCTTGCTTCATATGTTGCTAACAAGTTATTGGGCCGTTGGTAAGGGCCTTGCTGGAGATGCTGCTGACAAGACGTTGGACCATTGGTAAGGGTCTTGTTGCTTAAACACACTGTCACCTTACCTTGTGGCTTTGCAGCCGGTGCTCTATTCTTAAAATAATAAAGCAAAAATCTGCTAAAAACGCACTGACACCTTGGCCTTATGACCGGCTTTCCTAATGCTATAAAAAAGATAACAATGAGCTAACTGCACACTAACGCCTAACGTGTGGCACCTAGTGCCGACGTACAGTACTCGCGCCTCGTCTCGTGGCCCTACGATCGGCGCTCACATCTGCGCTTTACCTTTTTGGCACCACCCAATGCCAGTGCAATCCCGGGTCACCTAACTTTTTTTTCTGCTTCTCTTTTTGTCAATAGAGCGTTTCGTATCTGGTTTTTCAATGTCCTCGTTAAACATTTTTTCACCTTTAAAGTTCGCCTTTGGCTGATAAAATGCCTACATGCCCACTTTTTCACGTTTGTAGTTGGGCGCTTCGTCTTTGGCTGGGATAATGCCTTTTCACAACGCTTTTTCACTTTGGTGCTGGCGCTTATTGCCCTTTTTTGGGTATTTTGCCTTTGCACACTTTTTATTCACTTTTTAAAGTGGGGCGCCTCAAATTTGGATATGATAATACCTGCGCACCCACTGTTCACGCCACTTCTTTTTTTTGTGCTGGCGCTTATTGCCCCTTTTTCGGGGCTTTTGCCTGGCACACTTTTATTAACTTTTATATACGTCATTATATAGATCACTTACCGTGGTTTTCCGGTCCGCAATCCTCTAGATGGTGGGTGATCCTCCTAATTCTTGCGGCTTCTACTCCTGGGCTTTTTCCTCCTGTCTCGAGCGCGAAATTCTCTACCGGAATGGCCGATTGTGGAAGATGAAAATGTGTAACTTGTGTAGACTGGAAATCCACAATAGATAGATACAAAAACAGGGATGATCCTGAAATTATTATCGTTCTTCTATTTTTGACGACCTGGCAATTTGTAATTTGGGGTTTTGTATTTTGTCTTTTGGTATTGTTATTATTATTTTTCTTGAGAATATAATTCCAAGTAAAAGTAATAATTCGAATACCAACTTTCTTCAGTTAATTTGTGGAAACAATCCGGCTCGAACGACCACTGTTACTGCGGGATATACTTGGGGCCGGAATTCCTCACGAAGTCCGAGAACGGGGATCAAATGGGGTCGATTGTCCACAGAAATCCAGTCTATACAAAGAAGATACACCTACTCTTCTTTCAAAAATGAGACTTGATTTGATTAATAGCAGTGAATAAGTCCACAAGGACTTGAGGGGAAGTAAGGGGATGCCGGCTGTCGAGCGGGCCCACAGTTGAAATAAAAAGCACTTTTTTCGACTTAATTATTTAACAAATTTGATTAAAATTCAAGGTAATGGATATGTACTCCAAAAAATGGTTTTTGCAGCTCGAACGGCCGCCGCTAAGCGGTCGATCGGCTAACGAAATTTGGCCAAAAAGGATAGAGGAATTGGCGCGTGATGGGGCACACGGAAATAGTGGGAAAATACGGGTAATAACACGCGCACGGCAATTCGATTTATTTATATTGTTGCGAAAATGCGAGGCGAATGTCAGATGAAAGAGAGAAGCCGATAACTAGTACATTCTAAACGAGAACCTTCGATAGCGAACAACTCGATGCTTCTACGCTTCCGTCTGCGAGCAGCCGACTGCTATATAAGGGCGACACTCAGCTGCCGAAAAGTTAGTTACAAAGTGAGCTCGTTGGCGTTAACATCAGTAAAGTCGTATAGTAAACGCGTTGGGAATTACATTTAAGTAGAGTAAATTGTGTAAGTTATGCAAGTGATTGTAGCCAGGAAAGTGCATTGTAATTGAATTGTAAATTACTGAGTAAATAAAGGACATTAGATAAATTCTTTGTAACGCAAGAAACTGCAAATTAAGTTGGCGAGTTTTATTTAACAATCCAGAGATCGTACCCGAAGGATTTAGAAAATCATTGAGGTTGATTTAGTAAAATCGTAACATTACTTTCAGAAAGACTATACTGGCAACCTTGTATAGCAACGAGAAATGAGCACAGCCAGTTTTATGGAAAAAATCAAATCGCCGTTGGTTTCTGAGGGACTACCGTCACTAACGGTAGGGGCAAGCGGTGACAACTTTGTGTTTACATGGCGCTCTCATAAGATAGGTTGCTATGGACGGCTGGTACGTGCGTTGGGTAGTTGCAGCAAAAGATAAAAAAATAATCTGCTTATGTGGTAGTGCTGCCCGAAATCGAGTGAGAGTGTTAGTGAACCCATCAGCTGGTTCTTGCAGGGAAGTCTGAGCTTACAAGGATATTTTTTGTCGCTTCGCTGTCGCCCTTCACCTTCACCTTAAAAATGCTTTCTTCAAGCATTTTTTTTTTTTAACATTTGATAATTCTCCATTCTTTCTTTCTCTATTTCGCTAAATTTTACCTCCTGCAATTTTTACTATTTCTAAAATAAAAACCACATGTGTGTGTATATATATTTTTACAGTCGATTAAACATCAACTTGACCTCTTCGAAAGGGTGATGTAATTACAGACCTTTGAGGGCATGCACCTGAATTTCCAGTCCCTTATTCGGGAAGGTACCACTACCCACCTGTTTGATGTTCTCGTAAGAATAAAGGCTGACCGCCGTCCACGAGGTGCGATGGATGTGACAAGGATGGAAGTCACGTAATGAGTTGAGGCTGATCGACTTCATCGAGGCCCGAAGTATGGTTGTCTGTAGTACTAGATTCCAGCACAAGAGAATAAAAACAGAATACATATCTCCAATGCTCTTGACAGCAGCGAAGATACGCACCCACCTTTGTGTATCAAGGACAAGAAAAGTTCGTCGTCAAAAAGCTGCATTCACAACAGACTGTAGAGCAGTTTTCTACTCAACTTGCTCAAGCTCATTGAGACCACTCATTAGCAACTTGACATTAGGGAACTGTGAGGCGGAATTTCAAGCTGCTTACGTACAACTTCAATCGAAATTATTGGATTTCGGAAAGGCTGGTACGATGAGAGCAGCCTTGTCGCAGTGGAGGAAAAGCAGGCTGCCTACGCGTGCGGGAAGAGGGAAACTAAACGCATCTGCAGACAAAAAATGAAAGAGATGCGTGAGTATGAAGAGCTTGAGAAGCAGGCCGTCAAAGGAAATGCTCGGAAATTCCATGTTAGATAAGACGACATACTGAAGGTTTCAAGACTAGAGCAGACTCTTTTAGGACACAAAGAGGTGATCTAGTGAAGGATGCCCAGATTATACTGATTGTAGGAAAAAATTACTTCTTCAGCATGCTGAACGACAGTGAAAATGAAACAACCGGAGATGATGAACCTAAAATCCCAATCGATGACGATGAAAGAGACGTTTCACTACCCGACTATAACGAGGTTTGATTAGCGCTTGCTCGCGTAAAGGAGAGCAAAGCGGCCGGAGATGACGAAATATGTGGTGGTAAAAAGCTGTGCCAACTTCCGTGAGATAAGCCTCCATAATATCGAATATAATAAATAAAGAAGGTACAATATTTCTATAAGAATGTACAACTGCTTGCGCACGCTGATGATATTGACATTATTAACATTCAACAACCGCGTCGTTTGCTCTGCTTTCTGTATACTGGATAGTGAAGTGAAGGATATGGCTCTGGTAGTGAGCTTGGGCAAGAGGAAGTATCTTCTGTTGACAGTCATAACTTTGAAGTCGTAGATAACTTCGTCTTTTTATGGACCAGGGTCAACTTCTATAATAACGTCAGCTCTGACATGCAGCGCAGAGTCACGCTTGCCAACTGGTGCTGTTCTCCTTTTTAACGCACATCTGACTGTTCTGTCGGTCTTGCAGTCTGAGCTGGCAACAAAACCTATTCGAGGCCCAAAGACAATAGACAAATGAGTAAGTTTCATATCATATTAACTTTGTCGTAAGTAGCCCTTAGTCAATAATGAAACCCAACATTTTTCGCTGCAAAAGTATTTTATGTGAATGTTCAATATTCATTTAAACAGCTTTTTGTTAGCTTTTTTTTTGTTTTGTTGCTCATAGCTCTCTCTCTCATAAAAAAAAAGTTGAATTATAGAGCTCTCTCAGGAAACAAATTGCTTCGCTATCTTTGGGCTCAATAGTGTCGTTCAACATAAATTGCAGTGTTGTGTCATAAGTGTATTAGCCTTTACTTACAAAGTGCTGTCAACATTGAAGGGTTACCACAGCTAAAGATGTCATTAGCAATTCTCATTATAGCGTCGGTTTGTTCGCTTTTGTTTGCCAAAATTTTTGTAAGGGAAAATCAGGATAGAAGTAAGTTCCACAAATTGTTATTTATTGTGTTTAGATTCTTGTATGGTATTTTGATATTTGTTAAACTGTCAATGTTAAATTATTGGACGTAGCGTACTGTTAATATTCATACGTACATATCTGAATGTGTGCAATGAGTAGTTGCCTATATGAGTCCACGCTTGTAATTTTTCCATACATTATGGTTGAAAATTTTCAGGTTTCTGAAAATTACAAGTTTGATCATGTCCGCAAAACGCAAAGCTGGTGGAAATGGTAGTGGACCCAACAAACGTCGTCCAAAGAAACAGGAAAATTTAGAAGAGGATTTGAGCGATGCCTCAAGTGAAGATGTTCAATCTACCTCAAATCAGGTTGAAGTTTTAATTCCAAACGAAGATTTGTTACCTCCTAGTGAGCTACCAGAAGATTTGCTCCTAACCCTCGACAAGACTCCAGGAAAAATGTTAATAGCTGGAATGGTAACATGGGACTTAACTGGAAAAAGGGATCGGAAAAACGTTGTGAAAGTACGACCTAATCTTTATAGCTTTCATCGATTTTCGGATGATACGGTGAGGAGAAATAATAATTCTTATTTTATTCGTTACCTATTTTCTTATTTTAAATTTTAGTATCGCTACTGTGCAACTGGCCCAAGCTCTGCACATACTCTACTTATAAATATGGAACGCAAGGCTCTTGCTTTTGGCCGGAATCCGTCCGGTCAATTAGGTTTACCTGATGTAAAAATTTGCGAGAAGCCTACTCCAGTTATAGGGCTTGAAAATTTTAATATCGTACAGGTGGCATGTGGTCGTCATCACTCTCTATTTTTAACAGATACAGGCAGAGTTTATGCTTGCGGTGATAATAAGTCTGGACAGTGTGGCATTGGAAATACTATTCCTGTAATTAATAAGCCAACACTTATAAATTACCGTGGCCCACCAATTATCAAAATTGGATGTGGGGCAGAATTTTCAGTTATTCTAGATATCAAAGACAATTTGCATACCTTTGGCTTACCAGAATATGGCCAATTGGGGCATAACACGGACGCAAAATACTTCGTTAACGCCAACAAACTGTCTTTCCACTTTGAAACATCACCAAAGAAAGTGGTACTTTATATTGAAAAAAACAAAGAAGGTCATGTAACACCTGTAGACAACGTTCAAATCGTGGATTTTGCATGCGGTAATAATCATACGGTTAGTGCTTATATAATATGGTTTAATTTATAATTTTATTGTCTATTTATTTAACTCTAATCGCTGAAAAAAAGGATTTTTTTGTTTAACCATTTCCAAGAATACCTAAAAATTATTGGTGAAAAATGTACACGACTGTCATGATTACACATGAAACTTATGTCAAAAATTGTGATCATTAATATTTCGACATTTCTCCCTTTATATTGACTGATCTTTTCACATTCATAGAAGAATATCGCTTCGTTCGGAATTGTGTTGAACTTAGATATCGGCTAACTGTAATCAGTGTTCGAGAAGCATAGTTTATTTGAGAGATTCGCAGTCAAAAATTAGGAGAGAGTAGAAAGTGGTACATTCAGACTGGCGTGCATTTGTAAACATCACCAACTTAGAACAAACGAATTCTGTTAATCCCCGGCATGTTCGACAGAAGCATCCGTTTGATAGTTCACCTCTCTGTGTCCTACAACAGTCTGTTCCGGTTTTGAAACTTGTAAGTCGCCGTATTTTTTCGTAAAATTTTCCTTGCCTTTTTCTGTTTTCGTCGGCAAATGCAGCAAAACTCATGTGCTGTAACCTAGTATTACAGACAACCTTTTTTCGAACACCGTGAAGTCGATTTCCACATCGTGAAGGGGACAGCGCTCATGAATACTCTACAGACGCTCATAAAAGGCATATTTAATCAACGATATGTTAAAACTGTGGATCGCCAAGTTTTACGATGATTTATTTTTATTATAAATTCAACATCGCAACCGTATCATTACAAAGTATTTTGTCGTTTTGGAACTCGCCCATTTATTTAGGAGATACTTTGCAATTTATTTCGAATGTTTTCGAACAGAACGTCGATTAAATGACCACCACAAAAAGCAGCGAAAAGTTTTTTATTTCATATCAGAAATACGCTCAGAGTTTGACATTTCAAACATGTTGCGTTGTTTTTCAAAAAAGTTGCTCTCGTTAATAGAGCACTAATTTAAATATTTTTCAGGTTGCTATTGATTCAAAGAAGCGTGTTTACAGTTGGGGATTTGGCGGATTTGGACGACTGGGTCATGCCGAACCAAAAGATGAGATGGTACCTCGTTTAATAAAATATTTTGATACCCAAGGACGTGGTGCCCGTAATGTATATTGCGGCGCAACCTTCAGTTTGATCGTTAACGAGCTCGGTGTTCTGTTTCTATTTGGTCAGAACAAAAAAACGGGAGAGGCAAATATGTATCCAAAACCGGTGCAAGATTTATCTGGTAATATTGACGTTAAGTAATTATTATTAGAAAATGTATTGAACATAAAAATTATTTTAGGTTGGAACATTACTGATATAGGATGCGGGAATACTTCTATTATGATATCAGCAGATGACACATTAATTGCATGGGGTGCTTCACCTACTTATGGTGAACTGGGCATTGGCGAGTTCCAAAAGTCTTCCACGGTCCCTAAAGAAGTGCCCAAAATGGATAATATCAAAATACCTCAGGTAGCTGTGGGTTATTCTCATACCGTTTTGCTCGTAAATACTGATCACGAAGCAACAAAACAAAAATATGAGAAACTGCCAGAATATACAATCGACGATTAAACAAAGCAGATAAACTAGTAGTTGTTGGTCTTTATACTCCTCATCAAGCATTTAAAATAGAAATATTAACTCTATGATAGAGGAGTTGTCATCGAATCATAAATTACAAAAAAAAAAAAAATATTCAATTGGAACTTAAAATAACATACATTTATATTAAGTTGACTTTGTAAGTGTCAGACTGGTATAAATATAAACATTTTTTACGATTTCATTACATATATAATATATTTCTTGCATTATTTTTCATCAAACTCAAAAAAACTATTTCTTCAATGCTCTCTAAATTATCTATACATAATAATTATATCTGATTCTTACACATACATATATATTTATTGCTAAGATTAATTTAATTAGTTAAGATGAAATGTCATTGATTTATATTTCCTTTTTGCTATGGCGTTCATTTCTTTTCACATTCTATATATTGATGCAGTATTGGACTCATACATTTTATAAATATATATTTAAAATCGGAAATAAAGTTTAATAATGAAAGTATATTGTTTACTATCAAAATCTTTAATCGAGGTCTAGATTTATTTGTATGCTATTAATTCGTTTTAAATTCCGATTTATCTTTCTAACTAAACTAGAATTGCATTTTGAAGAGAATATTTTAACTTCGAATCAGGACTTTTGTAGGGCATCAAAAATTAAGGCTTACCTTTTGCTCTTGAGTTCATTTTCCTTCCATTCCTTGTTAGAACATAGATGTATAAATAACTATTATTAGGGGAAACTATTAAAATCAGTTTTTTTTTAGAGAGATTGAAACAAAAAATATAAGTCTTTGTTGGATGTATTTAGAAAAATTTGCGAATCGGAACATAAATATTTTAACCGGCTAATTGTAAACGAAAATGACGAATTTAGCTAGAGACATTTTTGTGAAATTTTTTGACGTTTGTGAAAATAATTAGTTAAACAAATGTGAGTTCTTTACTGACCCAAAAAAGTTTTCTTTGTGTGTTTTAGTACTACATATGTTATATATTTGTATATAATTGGCACTTTATAATCCCTGAAGAAATTTTCAGCTGTTTGTGTTTCTACTCGAGTACATTAAACTCGCAAGCATAAACACTTTCACCAGGAGTTAAGGCGTCTCATTTTCTCTAAATATGCAGACGCGTTAAATAGGTGACAAACTCCCTGCAAGAAGGCTTCCGATCATTTAAGCCAACATATGTCAGGAATGCATTATGTCATAACCCGTCAGCTCGTAGAACGATTTTCCCCATCACTTTCCGAAATGACAAATGTGATGTTTACATTTGTATGCCCAAGGAAATCAGCATTGAAAAAAAATTTTCCATACATACAAATAAATAATAATACAGCAATAAATTCATGTTCAAGCATTTCTGCTGTTTTTTTACGTCAATATTATTTTCTCTCGGTATCAATGCTGTCGTTCAGCTGTGTTCTGTTTGTCCGACAAGAATGAGGGAAATGCACAAGAAAACGTAGAGAGAAGGACGTACACTTATACAAATGTAAACATCGCATTTGTAATTCCGTCTTTAAGAAAGCGATAGGAAAATTGTTATACATTGCTGTCGGCATATGACTTCATGCATTCCTGACATATGTTCGCTCAAAGGATCGAAAGCCTTCTTGCAGGGATTATTAATTAATATCAGGTACATGGTTTATATACATAGCAAAGAAACGAAGTAACAATACAACAAGAAATTCGTTTTCAAAATCAGCAAAACCGCAATACAGTTATAGCTTGCAAATTTTTGTCGAATACTTGTAAATCTGCTACTGCTGCAAGATGAGAAGCGTCCATTCTTTCCACACTTTCTTCCGTTCTTTGTTATCTGCTACGGAGAAAACGATAAAAATGCTGTTGATCGTGTGAGTGTATTGTCGAAGTCAGCTGATTTTTTGTGCTGGTGCGTTTTGTTGTGGATGAATTGGGTTCTGATATAAGTATATAAATAATTAAAAATATGGAAAAAGAATTTGAATCCTCTCCAGTAGAACATTTGGTGTTTATGCTTTTACACTTTGGAATGTTGTTGAACAGGATTGTGTCATTTTACTCAGAAAAACCAAGTTTTGCGTTTTGTCCCCTCGTTTTCACTAAGTAAACAAATCTCACTAGGTTTTTTTTCAAGTGTTGTTGGGCTGCTATCTTCTGTCACGAAATAACATTGTTGTATGTTAACCTTAGATAAAACATTCTTTGTGCGTTTGATATCAAAATATGCAAAAAAATTATTTTCAATCAGTGTATGCATTAACAAATTTTCTGAATAAGAATGAAAGAATCAAGTTTTATTGATATATTTCAACTTTCTTCAAAAGTCAATTTACTCTTTGATATGTTGTGATACGAAAAACATTTGTGTGAATTACAGGCATATGTACCATAGAAAGCACTTAAATCAAAAAACAAAAATGGTCGTAATACATGAAGCCACTACAAAATAATTTGTCTGCCCCTTTATCTTCAATTTGCAAAAATCACGTGGTATCTCCAAGCAATAATTCAAATTCTAACTGTCAATAATGAAAATATTCATATTGTCTAGTCGCCAATAAAAATGTCCTTGCCTTCCCGCATGCGCCCTGTCCTCAAGCTGAGTTGTCGCCATTATGAAATAATGTACAGATATAAATAATGTAAACAATTGTCCCAATCACATGCGCAGCCTCAGCAAAAGATGTTGCTTTTATGAATTTATGTTCCCAAATTTTGAAATAAATCTTAGAAAAAATGGAAAACTTAATGAAAGGAACCGGCATTACTCGAGGTATTTCAATGTTTTGTTTTAACGACAAATAAGATAAATAAGATTTTATTCATCTTTTTGTTTGAAAATTATAGTAATGGCAATATATTGCAATAGTAATTAAATATAACATGCATTTTGTTAAACACAAACTTACAATAAATGCAGTTATCAGCATTTCATTATTAACCAGTGTCGCGTCTTTAACTAAAGGGAAAATTTGTTATGACCTAGCGGTGCTCATCGATTATTTTTAGTTTTATGTAATAAATTTGGAATTACCATCATATTGCTATTATATCCAGTTGTTAGAAGTAATTTTCTATTATTTAGAGTTCAAGGATTCTGACTGTTTATAATTATGAGATGCTTTACGAAATATGAAATTTGAAAAATTTAGTTCCATCTGTAAATTTAAAACTACAATAAAATTACTAATCGCTTCTACCAAAAATTGCTATTTAGAGGCGATACTTCGACATTGTTTTGCGTTCTAGGCATCAGCGTTGAATACAATGCAATAATGTTCAGATCAACACTTATGACAATGCTTCTGGTTACAACTTCTTCCAATAACATTACTTTTTTTAACCAACAGATATGGATATGTATAATCATTCGGACAACCGAGTGGTTAGCACGGCGTACTGCCATTCGAAAAGCCGGAGATCGAGTGTTGGTACAACCAACATCTAAAAATAATTTTTTTTTTTAATTGCAAAATTCATCCATATTATCTTGTATGCTTTTTATAATATACTTACATATACTAAATCGGATTGGATTTAAAAATTAAAAAACTTAAATTTGGCTGGGTAACGGTGAAACTATTCAAAATTTTACATAAAATGAATACCGCATGGTTCATTCAAGAGAAAATAGCTGGTAAAGCATCATTATTCTGCCATAGAAAACTATCAAGAGAAATTATTCCTACCTATACCTGATGACCCGGCATAGACCAAACCGTATTTTATTCAAAATTTCTGGTATGATTCGTAGCTTGGTGGAAAGCATGAAATCCAGTTCTAAATTCCCATAAAAATCTCTAATTTTTCATTCCTTCCTCCCCTTTCTCTTAAAATTCGAAAATATTACGATGAGCTAAGGCAGTGACAAGTCTCTTTCTACTCTACTTACTTCGCCTGTATATTATTTCATCACGAGTTTTGGCTAGGTTGAAAAAATTCTTAAATTATAATGTTTTAGAATATTTTATATTTTGTTCGGGAAAGAAAATCGGCAAGCGAAGAATAGCCACATTGCTCTAGACAATTCCAGTTGAGCCCAAGATTTATAGAATACAAGGTTACGACAAGAGCAAAATCATTCATATTGTTACGATTTTACTGAATCAACCTCGATTATTTTCTAGATCCTTCGGGTACGATCTCTGGATTGTTAAATAAAAACTCGCCAACTTAATTTGCAGTTTCTTTCGTTATAAAGATTCTATCTAATGTCCTTTATTTTCTCAGTAATTCACAATTCAATTATACTGCACTTTACTATTTATAATCACTAACATCAACTTTCACAATTTACTTTACTTAAATGTAATCTCCAACGCGTTCCCCAATTGTAATTCACACTCCAAATACATGTAGAATTATTTAATTCGCCATATAAATTTTCGTGAGCGAATTACCGTAAAAGTGGGTAACTCGTTCACAATTGCCAACCAGCTGACAAATCAAAACAAAAGAGAGAAGAATCATACTGTTACGAATTTGCTAAATCAACCTCGATTATTTCCTGAATCCTTCGGGTTCGATCTCAGGATTGTTAAATAAAAACTCGCCAACTTAATTTGCAGGTTCTTTCGTTACGAAGAATTTATCGAATGTCCTTTATTTACTCAGTGTTTCACAATTCAATTACAAGGCACTTTACTATTTACACTATTACCAATGTCAATGAGTTGTTTA